CTAGCTCTTTCCTGCCTTCGTGGTATAGATCCTCACCAATGCAAAAAAATGTGTTTGCTGTGTTATGTATATACTATTCAAACACAAATATCATTGTAAACTGCGCACAGTTTTCTTGCACTCTTGTGCTTAACAATCCTTCCCTGTATAAATAACCTTACCAAGCCAGCCAGCCGTTGTTAGACTTGTGAATTTTGTCATGTACAATATACCAGCTTTACCTCCTTGCCAAAAAAATTTAAAACACTGTAGCCTTATTTAAAATATATTTAATAAGCTGGCGCAGACAGCAAAGGATTTGATTTATTTAATAAAAGATGCTCGGTAACAGAGCACAATGAAGAAGTCAGCAAGTAGAGCGGCCTAATGGCCAAGAAACTTTCAAAATAAGCATGACAAAGAAGAATATAGCGGATGCTAGGACCAAACGACAAATAAACTTAATGGCAGCGAAAAATTTACGAATCATCAGTTCTTTGATTTATATCGCTTCTTAAATTAGATAAGTGAAATTTGTTCGGACGGATCTTGCATCATAGACGTCGGAGTAGATCTCATCATGGTCACCTTCTATCCTCTACTTAAAAGGACTGCATCTCCACCCGAGAATCAATCCATTCAAAATCTGAGTTTGGGTTTGATATTCTACTTATATTTGTTAATAGGCAGTTTTCCATCAGATTTAAGCTAGTGATTCACAACCAATTAAGGGGATTTGACAAAAGCGACAATTAAATTGTAAAAAATATGCGACCTGTTAGAGGAGCCGTAAAAGTTGATAGTCTGATTTCAAACAATGGATCAGGTTCAGGTTTGTTCAGCTGTATTCAGCCTTGCAGACTCTAGCCTCTGTAGTCTTAACTACACTCAGATGGGCTACATTTGTAGGAGCAATGAGCGCGCCACTTCGCAATTTGTAAAGCTTATTAACCTTAGCACGATCCCACCTGTGTAGACTTGTTAACATTTTGGGGCCTCTTCTCCTTTAAAATCATTTGTGTCCCTCTTTCTTAACTTTGCTATTCACAAAATGCATAGGACAGCTTCAAAACATTAAATTTTTGTGCCTCTAGGGACCAGACAAACGTCAAAGCTCTTAGACATCAAGACGTACACACCATCAGCATTCCTGTATTTTCCAAATTCAAATTATTTCTTCATCATTTTCATTTAGCTATGTTGAATTTTTGGCATAAAATCTTAGAAGTTCTTGCGATATCTCCAGTCATTTCTGCAGCCTCCC